TTTGCAAATCTCTTTCTCCTATTAAAAAACAGAAGAAAAGCAAAAAAGGGGGTTGCAATTTGTCCTCTCACTTCCATTGCAGAGATGGGCAAGATTAACTCATCTGAAACCTCTTCCTCTATTTACAGTCTCAAACTGTCCCTGGCTGTAACATTCTGCAATGTTTAGCACAACTCCCACTAGTCTGAAAATTGTATTCATCGTTTGACTTTGAGAGCCTGTTATTATTTGCATTGTTACTTGTGTGACATGATATTTGTTATGCTGTATTTTTCCAACTAAATCTGACCCCATGGAACATAACCAATACAGAGCTAGAATTCACTCCCTTAACATCACTAGATACCATTTTGGAGATTAGCTATTCAGTGAGTATTTGCTACATCATTTATTGGAATATATGTGTATTTAGTTTGTCTGTGGAGAGCTTATGACCGCGAATACTGAATGCCTTATAATTTACTGCCTGTGCATATCTCCATTAAATTATATGGACAGAAGTCTAACACCAGAAATTTTACAAGCTGTTTTTGCTGAAGATTTGACATAAACTCCTATTGTTTTTATTTGCTTTTCTACTATTACAAAGCTTGTTTACACTGCTAATTTCTAAACCACTCACAAATAATATTTAGAAGCCAAATGTTTTTCCTGAGAACAGCATTTTATGAGGCTTTGGGCAGCAATGTGTGCATTGTACTGGGCTTCATCAACTGCAGAGTAAAAGAACATAGCCTGCTGAATTCTAGGCAGCAGCCTAGGTGATTTCCCTAGGCTTTAATCATCTAATGCCTAACGAAAGCTGAAGATTTTGTTTGTAGAACAGCTTGCAAGTTTACAAAATTAAAGTTCCTTTCCTGATAAATCTAAATTTTTTTTTCTGCATCTACTACTGTTGTCAGAGGTCATTGAATAGAATTATTCTCCTTCCCAAACAATGTTATGTTTCTCATTGAAACAGAAAATAAGAATGAGGTAAATATCATATGGTGAAAATGTTCAAGTGTAACTGAGTTTGAGATATAAAACTTGGGAGTCACATGAGAGGAGATAGAGGAAAAACTGGGCCTAATTCTTTTTCTGAGTATTTGGACAGTGAGGACCAACCAGACTGTAAGTAGGTACTTTGTTAATGTGAAGATTTAATATTTTACAGAATAAATTAAGTGTCTAGAGAACAGATACTTTCACAGTCTTTTTTTAACTCACAAATGCCCTACAAAAAGCAGAAAGAAAAGCACAACTCGCAAGAAAATAGGGGTTTTTCAACTACAGTGTTGCCAGTCAGCAGAGCATGTTATAGGTAAAATTATATACGTTTTGTGACAATAAAACTAAACACCAGACATACAGAAGGGTATGCAAGGCTAAATATTGTGTGCTTTTTCTGCTCTGCTTTCTTCTGAACCCAGTTTATTATCTCTTACATACGTAGCACTGCTGCTGACTTCGCTGAACTAGCTGGAAGGAGAGAAGTTAGATACAGGAGAATTAGATGCAGGATTAAGCTAAATAAAGCTAAAGAAAAAATGTGTTCTAATTTTGTCATACTCAAACTTTAGTAAATTGCAAGTCTCTGACAATGGCATCTCCTCGTTTGAAAAATCTGTAAGTATCCTCTCCCCTTCATTGTTGGGATGTGGATTATGCTTTTTCATTTCACAGGCACGTTTGCATCTGATGTTCTTGCTAAGCACCAAGGAAACTAATTGCAACATTTGACCAATGAAATTATATCACCCGTTCTGGAAGAACCCCAGGTGATGAAGCTTTAACCTCTTTTCTCCGTACTTCTCTTTCAGCTTCTGATATGGCTGCAGAGCAGGGACAGATTCTTGTAATTGCCACTGCTGCTGTTGGTGGATTCACTCTCCTGGTCATCCTCACTTTGTTCTTCCTGATCACTGGGAGGTAATTAGCACTAAAATATTCTCATGTACTCAGGGTCAGAGGCGACCAAAACTAAGAATTTAAGAATAATAGTGAAGTCATTAAATCACATTTTCAGTGCTAAAATAAGCGTTAGGTACTGAAGGGTGAATGTCCTCTTTTTTAAGCATTGCTTATACTCACAGTCCTATTGTGAGTGTTGTTTTTCACAAAAACACACTTTTGGGAGCTAAGTAATTATGTGAAACCAGGAAATAGTTTGGCTATTGTTAAAATAAGTTTCTGGACTCTTTTCCTGCAGAGTGAGAGTTTAAAAATACAGTGTACCTGTACCCTCAAGGCTATGACATTAGAAGACAATAAAAAAACAAAAAACACAGTATTTTTTACCTAATCTCACAAATATCAGTTGCAAAGCTTTGCAGGGTGTAAACTTAGGATTTTTGATATTTTGGGATTAGCAATGTAGCTTGCTAAATACACTTGTGAGTGGGCAATTTTTTATTGCTTTTGCTATGTTAAATTTGTAGGGAACATCACACACAATTCTGTACATGTTATGTATGCAGGTTTCTGCATCTATTAAGATAAAACATAAGAATTATGTAATGAAATTAAACTAAAGAGAGCTCTACTCTGGAAAACTAGAGTGTTTCTACTGCCTGTGAAATCACTGGTGAACAGAAAATAGCTTCCTGAAGGCCCTGTTTTATTGCTTTTTTTGTCTTTTTTTTAAAATTGGATTGAAGATATCCCAGTGAAATTTATATTACAGCAGTACTGTTCACTGGCAGGAGAATTCACCTGTCTGGACAAGGATTATTTTTTATAGCTACCCTGATTCTTATATCTGAAGTTCTTTCAGTGCGGTGCTGATGGTCTACTTTCCTTCAGTTGATGTGTTGATCAGGATCAAATAATGACATTATGCAAATTGGATGAAAAAGCATTTTGATTTGAGTGGCCTGATGCCATGCTCAATTACACCCTGAAGGTTTTAAGGGAACTCAGAAATTCTAATTGGACATGCTAAAAAACGCACATAGAGGTCAGAACGTGAGTCCTTGCTGGAGTTCAGATGCCCAAAGACGTAGCTGCTTCCATGGTGCTTTGTTTCCTGTTTCACTGTGCTCCCTGGTGTTTCCTGTGTGATTTCAGGACTTCACCTGTTTTACAAAGAAGCAAAGCAGAATTTCAGAGAACAGGGGCATTGTGCTCTGTCCCTCCTCTATCCTTTTGCCCTCTCCTTCCTTCGTACACATAAAACAGCTGGTGGAAGAGCCCCCATGTGAGGAGAATTCTTTGTGGAATTTCCTTCTTGCCTGGTTTGGGAACTGAAAAAATCCAGAGTTGGGATGGGATTCTGCACTATTCCTATTCTGGTTTAAAGCCTGTGTTTACACTTAGAGAAAAGATAATTACACTGGCTCCTGAACATGATAATGATCATCACAGATGGGGCCGATATCGATAAATGGTGATGCACTTTCAGATTTGTAATTAAGCTTCTGTTTTATTGGTATAGCAGTACCTCTAATTTGAAAAGCAAGTCAAGTCCTGTCAGTGTAGGCCAGGGGTTTTATTTGTAGTGTAGGCCAGGGGTTTTGTTTGCGGCACTCCAGCAACCAAATATGGCACTACAGTTACTACCATTACGTGAATTAATGCTCTCTGCTAAATAATAAAACAAGTTAAGTCTGACATTCTGTTGAAGTTAATGGGAGCAATTAACATTGGAACATATTGTGACCTGAGATAATCTTAGAAGCTAAGTAAATATTCCTGTAATTACTACAAACACTGACAAACAGTGGGGTCTTTCAGAAGAGAGAGAGGACTTGCTCAGACAAAGACAAACTTTTGGAGAAACCAGTTGTGTGGAATCCATACGTGGAATCATGAAATGTAATTGAAATACATCCTTTAGAAAAAAAAACTCACTGATCTCAGGAATGAAAAAGAAATATGGAAACAGATTTCTTTCTGTATTTATTCCTCCTGTTTGCTAATATTAAGGATATCAGAGATTCTCTTAGCTTTCAAACATCATATTCAACAGGAACTTTTCAATTACATAAGATATGAATTCATTTTGAAGTGCCACTTAAATGCAGTGATAAGAGCGTATTCCACAGAAGACAGAGCAAGAAAATTTTGAATAAATACTCAATTTACTCTAGGACTGGAGGCAAATTTCTGCATGAAAAATGGGATTGGTACCCTACAGATGTGCTGTTTAGAATTAACAATTTGATGAGCTGTCGAGTCACAGGGCTGCTGATGAGCCTATTCATAATGGAGAGGCTGGGTTAAATGAGCACCTGCCTCTGCACTTTGCTGAGTGATTACCCACCAAGAGCAAGCAGGAAGCACGGCTGTCAACTGCAGATAGAAAAATGAAAGCAACAGAGACTTCAAAGCGCAGGGTATGCAGGGAGGTGAGGGTCTTGGCTAAATTCCAGGAAATGCAATGTTAAAGCACAGGGTGATTTATTCTTATCATTATAGAAATTACTCCTCTCTGATTGTTCTGTAGCCAACGCTAACAGGGAATGGTGAGCTGAAGCTGGAAGACTCCTCTGCTGGTGATTACTCATTGGCTTCTGTAGTCAGACTTTGGGGCCACATGCATTGGAAAGAGTTAAAGCTTTGTTTCTTTGACTGCTCCATTGGGTAGACACTTTTAAGTTTAAGAGCTCATGTTCACTGTTCCTGGTAGTTGGCACCCTACAGACCAGTTGTTCAGATCCTAAAAATGGCACTGGCATGCTTAGTGGGCTCAGCAACTGCTGTACAATCTAAAGATTGCAACAGAAGCTGAGAATCCACTGGTTGCTGTTTCCCTCTGTAAGGGTACATAAGCACGACAGCTTCAGAATTTTCTGCCTTTCGATTGTTCATCATCGCCTCTGTAGCAATGGATGAATTTGTGAGTGTTCCTACTCTGTTTCAGTAGTTTAAATGAACCATTGAAAGGAGATGGATGTGTTCACATATTTCTCCTAACTCTGTTATTAGTATTTTACTGGATACACTATCTATAATTTTATTTTATTTTATGAGGCTAGTAATGAATACACAGAGGTCAGTTATTTTTTTCAAGCTTGTCTTGGACCTGAATGTCACACCAGAGCACATGTCCACATGCACTGCTGTTCTCCACTGGGCTCAGTGCCCCAGCAGCCATTAGTCCTTAGCACTCAGACTAAAATATTTCCCCCCAAATCATACTTTTTAGACTGTTCAGTGAGTGAGAAAGAACTTAAGACCGAGGGCAAGTATTTTGGTTTTTTCTTGACTGAAACAGTTGCTCCTGTCATGTGACCCTCTAAATTGGCATTAACAGTCCTGCAGGTAGGCAGCGTTCAGGCTAGGGAATATTTCATTACAGGGAACCTGAAAGCTTGCCATGTGGCAGTTTTTGCCAACATAACCTTGCATTGTGAGGTAAGGTCACTAACAGTTCATGAACAACTATAGAATTTTGTGTTGTTTGCCAAGGATTTGCAATATGCTAAATCATCATATTCACAGAGCAGACTATGTATTTTTTATCCTATATGATAGTTGCTATCTTAGAAGAAATAATAAGTTAGTGCCTGGCTCAACTCAGGGGAAAAAAAAAAGTGGTCTTGATGTGAAAAAGTATTTTCTTTATTCACGAAACATGGTGAAGCTGTAGAAACTATTATGAGAAAATGCGAGCTTTTTGACTCACTGACCCCGTGAAGGTTAATAGAACAAGGTTTAATTAGCACAGACCAATGTATGCAAACAAGAATGCAGGGAAGTAATAATTTATTAAAGTATCAGGATTCTTTGTAGGAGTCAAACTTGAACTTATGTAGTCATTTTTGTACTAATCCTTCAATCATGATTTTTTTTATCTAATCTAATTATTTGTAGTTCTTCATGCGTATTTCTCTCTTTAGATTCATAGCTAAGTATACATTCCCAATGCAAAAATTTTGGCTTTCATAAAAGTGCCAATAAAACTTAATGTACATTTATTTTATGTATGACAAGTATTTTTATTAAAATCTTACCTGTCTTTCTTAAAAGATGCCAGTGGTACATAAAGGCCAAAATGAAATCTGAAGAGAAAAGAAGGGCTCATTTGCAAAATGGACATTGTAAGTACTTCAACATTGTGCTACATAATATCTACATCATGTTTTAAGTGAAGAATTCTGTTTTCTATACAGTCTTTGCCCTTGATATTTTTATCTGACCATTTGACTAGTTCCTTATTGTCTACACTACCAAGGGTGTTTATTTTTATTTGTATATCCTCTTGAATAATTTCACTGAATTCACTGTAGTTAATAAGTATTTTTAGTATTCTATTAATAGTATTTACCAGTTTTTCAGATATATTTGAGTTCTCAGTTGATCTGTGCCATAGCAAATTGTCTGCTTCGAGACTCCTCTCTTGATGACTATGTGCCTTATTTGTATCCCATTCACTTTGGCTTTAGGGATCTACACTTCCAGCCATCCAAGAAATAAAAAATGGAATGGGTTGTCTTCCCTCATGTTCCTGCTCACTCATCAGTAGCGTGAGAGAAAATCCTCACAATCTCTCCTGGACAATGTATTAGTTTACTTAGTTTGGTTTAGCTACTTAGTTTAAATTACTAATCTCGGTCTTTTATGTTAGAGTAGATATTTAAAGTTGTTATTTATTCAAAGGGTATTATGCAAAGGGTAATAAATTAAATTTTGGGGGGGTCATTTCTTATTACATCCCTGGAAATACTATGGTCAGGACAGAAGTTAAGTCACCAGAAGTAAAATCTTTTTTCAGATGGACAACGCTATATCCAGCCAAATTGCTCTTTCTGTCAAGGAAAAGGGCACATCTCCCCATAAAGGATATTTCCTAGGAAGATTTTTTTGTCATTTGTTTCCAGACATGATCAGAAGGGAAAGAAAATAAAAACCTTCCTGCTGGAGAGTTTGGTATATGCCTCTGAGGACATGACTGAATTTGAGAAAAGCCTCACCCAGTGTCTTTCAGGCCAGCTTAAATGATGACTGTATTTCATGTTGACACAAAGCTTCATACCAGAGGCTTCTCATTCATTTGCAGTTATCTCAGCATCAGACTTGAGCGGCCAAGTTTCTACTCATGTATGCTCCACAGAACCAAGGATAGAGAGGAATCACTGTGATTTACCCCAAAAGAAAACCATCTCCAGTTCATCTGTCCTCTCCCAAGGGAGCTTGGTGTGAGTTAAAGGAAGATTTCAGGAAATAAATTCTTTGAAAGGAGTTAGAAAGTGATCTTGCTGATACTATGACATCCTGTGATGTCTGGTGTCCTCTCCATTTCTGTATGATGTGTGTGCCCCATTGGCAGTGATCCAAACAGCTGTTGCACACTGCTTTAATGGAGCCCAGCCACATTCATGTGTCCTGAGCGTGTGTTCTTCACCTAATGCGTTTAGGCTCATAAGATAATGAGATGCTTTAGACTCAGCTACTAAGTGACAAGAGGAAGAAGGCTGAGAGGCACTTAATTTTTTAAAAATATGTTCTTTAAACCCAGCTCAATACTCTCCTCTTATCATGATAAGTTCATGCATTATCTACATCAACTTCTGTTAATGGACTGAAAATTTTCTGGAACTTAATCACTGCATGGCAGCAGCCTAAAAAAAATTCTCATCCAGATAGTCCAAGAGAAACAATGTAAGTTCTTGGGACATGCTATACTCAAGAACACAAGGGATATTAACCATGCCAGAAAATTATGGCTTTCTGGAGCCTGCCAAAACAATCTGGCACCAACCCACCATGGCCATCTCCAAGGAAGCAGACAGAAATTATCAAAGTCTTGTAAATGGATTTGGATCTTTTTCTTCTCATCTTGCACCTGGTGCTCTGATGTTCCAGCTGATTAGAAGAGAACAAAGCAGCGCAACCCTCCAGGACCTATCCTTGGAGAAAAGGATCTCAGAGTTTGGACCTGTTGGCAAAAGAAATGTTAAGCCATCCGCCCGTAAATTGAAGGAGTGAATTAGAGCACACTATTTTCAAAGAAAAGGACAGATTGCCTAAACTGCCTAAGGAGCAGCAATAATTTATCTTGTCCGAAATAACATTTTCCTTAAAACTTAGATATGGTGCGGCTTTTTTTTCCCTAAGGAGAAATTTCCAAAAACTTTGTTGTCTTCATTTCCCCGCCTGAAATGCTGTACCTCAGGAGATGCTTGTGTCCAGCTGGGACATAGTAGTTTCACACTGTTTTGTCAGTTGAATACCAAAGGCTGAGTTTTTAAAGGCCTTTGACTTTTTGTTCGTATGTGACATTGTAAACTCTGGGTCCCATGTAGCTAGCAAATATGACAATAACTAGAGGCATAAATGATATTTGGATAACCTAACAGTCATATTTCCTCTGTTCTTTAACACTGGTAATCAGTTATCATTGCAAGCTGAAAGGATGTTTCATATAACAACGCACTGCAGCAATCTTGAAGTTTCTACGCTTTCAGTCACCCAGAACATCTCAGATTTAAGCAAGGTCCCAAAGGACCTTGCTTAAAGTTCCAGACAGTACTTTTGAATAGTTTTACTAGTATTGGGTTGGCAGAGGCTTATCTTCTGTCTATGGAGTACTAACACCCAGCTCTTTCACGTCCCAGAAGTCTCACCTAAAAAAGCCACTTGAAGGATAAGAGGAAGTGTTTAAGTCTGTGCTCAGTCAGTCTTTGAAGGTCTTAGTGCTGACAGCAAATGAGGACAACTCATGTGCTGCCTTCTTAGTTTCTGTGAAATCAATAAAAAGCATTAGTACTTTGGTGTCATTATCCTCTTCTGATTGGTTCTGGAACTTTAAATATGGAAGATTTGGTATATTATTTCTAATCCTTTCAATTTTCTAGTCAACAGCAACAACAAGGGAAAAAAGATAAAATCATATTGTTACAGTGCATGAAAGTCAACAAATTCTTTATTCTTAGTATTTTCTCTTTTTTGCAGTACGTTTCCCAGGAATCAAAACATATATTGATCCAGACACATATGAAGACCCTTCCCTTGCTGTCCATGAGTTTGCAAAGGAGATAGATCCTTCAAGAATTCGTATTGAGAAAGTTATTGGAGCAGGTAAAAGTTAACCCACTTCAAAAATGTCTGGGCATGGAAAGGCTGCTTTACTCAAGTCACCAGTATAACGCAAGTGGTCACGTATAGCGCAAAATGTGAGCATATTTCTCTGATAGCACCAGTTCCCTCTCAAGTGTGGTGTACATGAAGTATTGTATTTGGCTAATGTTCCATGTATGGGCATATTCAAAAGAGTTGTTGAGAGGCAGATTCTCCAAAGCAATTGATTAATCCCAAACCTTTTATAAGGCTTTATCAGTTTTGGGGGTAGAGTTGGTTTTTTGGTTGTTTTTCTCTTTGTTAGGGAGTTTTTTTGCCTCCAAATGTCCTCAAAAACACTGTTTCACTCAGTATTTGTCCTAGGTAGTGTCACATATTCTCTGTCACTGAGGGGGAGATTAGATCAGGATCACTTTCTGAGAAGCAATAAGATCAGAATATTAAAGACTGAGAACAAAAGTATTCTCAAATACGAATCAGGAGGAGTACGAGGGGGGAAATGAGAGAGTGACGTGGGATAGGCTTTCTTGCTAAGGGAGGTAACATGCCCCTTATATTTTCACATATCTTACCCTCTGCTAATGTGCTATTTTTATAGACGTGCCTGTTCTGTGCATTAAGTGTTATCCTCTTGTCTTAGCTTTGGTTAACTTGTCAAATTTTGCTGCTCAGGAAAGTGCTATGTGTTTCCACGCATTCATTTTTGGAAGGTCGTTGTAGGAGTATAGGCCCCTAGAGTTTGCTAGGGATCCTGATGGCAGCTCAGTAGTGACAGAAAACACACCTTCTTGCTTAACACAACGAAAGCAGAAAACTTGTAAAGATCAGAGTCTAGTAAAACCTTTTCTTGTGTTCTGACTATCTAGGGCACATAGCATTTCGTCACTGACCAGGTCCTGAGATTGTTTCCTCTGGTTTACTCAGCTGTAATTTGCTGAAGACTTAGAGAGAGGCCTTACAAACTTACCTAATTAATAGATCTTAATACATGGCTTGTGACCAACATGTTGCTCAGAAAGGCCACCAATATTTCTCACAGTTATAACAAATTGAAACCAAAAGTAGACTGTTAAGGGGAGTCTGGGGTTCCTGTGGTGCATTGCATCCTCTGTGTTGTTACCGACACACTGTCAGTGGCTGGGAAGCTTCAGTCATTTCTCAGCCCCAACAGAAGGGAAAGGTGGGAGAGCTAAGGGTCTGTGTCAGAAATTTTGATTAACATAGGAACAGAATCCTGAGCTCTAATTCCAGCTCTGAAATTTCACTTCTTCCTGTGGACAACATTAACAGTATACCTGTCTTCAGTTTACATGATCTAGATATTTCTCTGTGTCCTTAAGATATTGACTGAGTTTTGTAAAGAGCTGTCTTAAAAGTACTTACAATACTGACTACACAAGCGTTTTGTCATCTCACCATAACTTTATTTCATTAGCAATAATTACTGTGTTCCATATTCTAATGCCCATCTTTGAGCTGTCCTTTCTGTGCTTTAACAATGCTGTTCTATTACTTACGAAGTCATTACCAACATACAACTACTTTTTAAAAACCTTATTTACTTTCTCTAACTTTGATGACATCAAGAAGAAAATAAAATAATTCACAGTGCAACATACTACAAAAATCAGAGTTACATCTTGTAGAAGGACATCAGTGGAAAAAAAAATTAATTTACTTGTAGTGAACTCACCAAAGATCTCACACTAGCAAGTATTGTCAGGAAAAGTACTAACGGAAGATATAATGTACTGTGATCCGTCTTTATTTCATATATCTCAGTCACTCGAGAAAGAAGCAGTATTTTTTGAGATCCCTCATTTAATGATATGTTACTACACTGATACCAATGGAAATTACTGCAGTGTTTCTAAAAAGTGTTTTATACACTAGAAAATGTCATCTAAATAATATAACACAAATGAAACCAGATCTGTTAAGCAGGGGAGAGAAAATACTGCCCCAAAAGTAAGAGTGTTTCACACTGCAGTCCATGTCACTGGAGTACTATAGAGTTTACCTGATTGCCTAAGCTAGATAATACATAGCTGGCACTGTGCACCAGTGGAATTATGAGGTTGAGAGAGCCCCCAGAGGGCTGACTTTTGCAGAAAACATTCTATCTGATTTCCTTTATTTCTTCCTTTTCTTCAGACATATTGTAGATATTGATGTCGTAGATTATAAAGCATATTGAACTACATAAAGCATGGTATAACTGCTGATTTCAAAGCATACAACAGACAAGGATCAAGCTTATTGATTTTAGTTCACATGAAAATTGTGTCCTTATTCTCAGCTTAATTCATTTATGAAAATTCTTTACTCAGCTTCTATGTCCCTTTTCTTGCATATGGGGGAGTGAATTTTTGCCTGCTTTGGTATATTTTATTTCTATATTTTTTATCTTCAAAAATTACTTGGGTAATCTGCCATCTTCAAAGATATTTGCCTAGCAGGACTTGCCAACTGGTCGAAATGAAATTTAAACCCATTTCCATGCAGGCAAGATACAGGTTAAATACCGTGCCTGAGGCATGGAGGGTACAAATTCTCAGAGAGTTCTCCAATAGCTGCTAGGGGATATAACATATCATTATAATTCACAGCAGTGCTAAAGCTTTTTTCATGCCTTTTCTCTAATTCTGTATTAAACATTGCAACTGGATGTAAAATGAATTTCTTACAATGGGTGAATCGCTTTTGGAAGAAGTTTACAGTTTTCACCTAAGTGAAATAGCAAGTGAAAATTTTTTACAAAATGAAACATTAAAATCTCCTAAGAAGTTAAGAGATGCATTTCTTGAATTTGTTTTGTTCGAACATTTAGTTTTGATCAATGATTTTTATTCTTTGTTTCTGTAATTTTTCCTGAAAGAAATTTCCAATCTGTTTTTCAATGCAAAAAGTCATGCCTAAAAGCTCTTGACAATTTGCTAGATGCAGTGCATATGGCTTTGACACTTAAGGCAAGTATTTTTTTCAGCTTACCTAACTCTGTGCTCAAGTTATCTTTTAAAGTATTAGGTAATTGTAATCTTGTATTATGTGAATAGGAAGTGTACATTTTATTATTTGCTGCTAAGTAATCTATCTGAGGATATTGTCATCAAATCAGAAGTAGTATTCTCAAGTAAAGCTACTGATTATTGCTGTCTGATTACGGCACTGTTAAAAGTTAAAATTTCCTAACCGCTCACTTACTTCAGACAGACCTACGCTACAGACTTGTAAAACAAAGACTTCCTATTTTTGTCCTATATATCAGTCTGCACTTAGAAATGCAAAATCTAAGAGCCCTTGAGCATATTTACTTACTTATGCTCCATCATACAGGTACATCTCAATGGTGCCCAAGACATTGGGATTTCTCTGCAATCATATATTAGCCATGTTATACAGATAATTTGGTCTGCTCCTTTGGTGCCAAGTACTAGGAACATAGAGGTAGTACTACGTGCTATAAAAAAAGAGAGCAAATATCTAAAATTGTAGCTTACACACTGACTGTTCCACGTAATGGTATTTTTCCATAAGATACTAAAAGCAGATTCATAGAAAGTGGCAACAAATGGTCAAATTGAAAAAGTAGGTAGATCTTCAAGCAATAACAGCAGATTGGAAAATGGCCTTTAGTAGTACAAAATCAAGATGAGATTTGGTATGCAATAGTCAGAGATATCACAGCCTAAATAAAAAGAGAATGTCTATATATTTAGCTGTAGGTTTAATAAACATTTGTATTTCAAGTTCACATCATTAGGCATGTAATAATAGAAAACGCAAAGCAGCAACAGTTTAAGGAAAGATGCTGAGCTTGTGAGATTACTTGAAGAAAAAAAATGAAATAGTGCAAACTCTTGCTAAAATCCTTTCTCAGATCCTCCTAGTGGACATTTACCGAGTTGATGTTTTTGAATGCAGCCCCTATATTCCATGGAGCCCATTAATTGAAACTTTGATCTCAGCTCTCCCAGTCTTCCCCATTGGCATGCTTTTGGTGTTCCAGTACATCTGCAAACTCTCTGAATTACTGTCTTTCCTTCTGGTACTTTGGTGAAAGTAGAGCAAGTCAAATACAGACTTTGCAAAGTCCTCTCTAAATTATTCATGTGTTACTTACTCCACGTGTAGACACATGAGATCTGCATTAAAGTAACAGTATCTGCACATAAATCCAGACTTAAAATGGATATGTACTCTGGTTACTTCCCCTGAGTGGCTTCCTATCATCTCCTACCTTACATCTGATGCATCTGATAAAAAAAAAATACTGCTTTGATTGAATGAATCCAATTTAATAGCTGTTAGTGTCTCTTTTGGTAGTCTTTGAATAACTTCTGCTGATATTTTCGTTTAAACTGGAGGGTAGAGGCAGTGGAAATTGCAGTTTAATCAAATATTCATAATATCAAGCAGATTACAATACCAGAAGCAAAACAGACCCTATTTGTAAGTGCTTAGCTTATGTTTCTCATAGTAACATAAACCAAATAAACAGGCATTAATGAAGTTCCTATTCTAGCAATAGATGCTCTTTAAATCCTGAAATTGGTTAGGCCATTCCCTTTTATTTTATAGACTAATTATGACAACATTTTACTGTTGTTTATTTTGATATTGTGTATTCTTGCATTCAAAATTCTTGGCTGAGGGTTTTTTTTGTCACTAGTATTTAATATTCCATGACATCTCCTATTAGTTCATTACAAAGATCACCGGGTGCCTTTTTGTTGATTCCCACAATTTGCCATCTATTGCCATTGTTGTAGATATTCTACAGATGATTCGTTTCACACTTCATATTGAGCTTGCTGTACATACTGACTTAGTATTATTTGATTTTGTCCTGTCCATGACACTTCTTTCTGCTCAATCACTTCTTGCTCTGGTTTAAGGCTTCAGCACCTATTCGTGGAAGGACTTCCCAGAGGTAGTTTGTCAAGTCTGTCTTAAAAGTTACAGTTAATCCTCTTCTCTGTTTAAATGTTGAATCTCCAGGAAGAGGACAACTCTTCAATTTTTCACAGAGTACACTATATTCTTTTTATAATCTGAATCTTCTACAAGTTCTCCCACAGGTCTAATGACTGGGGAAAATGAGCTGAGCTGTATTTGGTGCTGTGACCTTTCAGTTCTATCAGTATTACAAATTGCAAGACATTTGTTTTGATCCCATTTAGTAATACCAAACTGCATATTAGTCTTTTAAGTGACTGACTATTCCTATTCCTAGACTGCCCAATTAGCTTCTTTTTGTATAACATACAGTAAGAGGTATGGGGTTTGTATCATTAAACCAGGGATTATTTACGCTTTATTAAAGCTGAACAGACAATGAACTCTATCTTTTTCTCTAGTTATCACCAGCTTTTACCCTGGAGCAAGGAAAGCTGTTGACTTCGTTGACATCTGGCTCTTAGCTTCTACTTATTACACCTGGAGTCATGAACCTTTACTGCTGCAGGGTCAACATTTGTCTTGTTTATCTTCAAACTTGTGCAAAGAGACTCCGATTTTTAGATTTTTAAACCTCCCTTTCATTGTACACATTCCCCTTTGAATTTAAAACATTCAAAATTCTTTATCTTAACAAAAGTGGAGGAAAAATACTCTGGGATGAAATCTTGTCCAACTCTTTCTCAATGTAAATAGTTCAATGCTTTGAATTGTATCATTGATCTCTACCTAGTTTAAACCAGGACTAGAAGTTATTACACATACCTGAGGTTTCTAAATGTAGTAACTCTCTGTTCCGTGAACTGATCATCACTTACTGTCTGTTTGACATCACTTCACACAAAAATTGCTGTTAGTCTTTATGTGCACCAGTTTGTCAATCCCAATATCCAAGGGGAGTTAAATTTCTTTCTAACTGTACAAAGCATGCCTCCAAAAAAAGGGAAAAGTTACAGGTGAGGGAGGAAACATGATGTTCCTTCCCCTGCTTTGAATGTTGTACACATAATAAATCTTGGGATTGTAATTCCTTCACCTGCCTCCTTCAGTTCAATTCATTTCAAAACACTTGTTGAAGAGCCATTTACAGTCCCTAGGGTGTGAATGTCATTATTTATGAAATTCTAGTACTCTTGTATAACGTTTTACTAACAAAACGATTTATTCTATAACCCATGCTGTCCAAATTACTCTCAAAAATGTGATTTTGCCGTTCTGCAGATTTATTGATCATTAAATCTCTTTTAAAAACTAGGTATTATTTAAAAATCTGGATATTATTTAAAAATCTGGATATTTTCACTGTTTCATCAGGAGAAACAAATTGGAATTTTTTTCTCATGTTAGGCATTTAAGATTGAAAAACCAGTAGGATGCAATAAGTTTGTGGCTTTAGAGAGGCTGGATGTATCACAGAATAGAAGATTGTTATAGCATGTCTCCTTCAAAACATTCTGGCTTCATGACTATTTTATGATAGAACATAAAAAGTCCAAATTAACTACTACTTTTTTCAGTGGTAGTAGTCAGGCAAACAAACTTTCAAGAAGAGCCGTTAACTAATGTGGCAAAGTAATATAGAACAATCCCACCCAACTTCTCCTTCTGTCAAAAGATTGTCAGAGGGCTAGTCTGATGACATAATTTTTCTCACATATGCACACATCTTCAGGGAAGCACATGCTTTGACTTATTTTAAAAATTAAATAGAAATAGAACAAGTGAGTTTTTTTCTGGTAGAAAGAAAAGCTAGGACACTTGGCTTTTGCTAGCTGTTTAAGAAGCTACTAATTTAGAGGTTGTGTTCAGCATCTGTTAATTGTACTCTTGCACTTGATGATACCTCTGTTTTGAAGTGAAAGACAAGCTAGGAGATTGATTTTTAATCCCACCATTCTTCCTGGATCTTATTGTCTAATGAAACCGTATTTTGTTTTACTGGAAGTGACAAAATCTAATAAAATAAAACCTGTGTGACAATATTCATTCTAATCCTGTAACGTCAGGGAGTTGTTTTCTGAAGTGAAGCTTCTAATCCTAAAGCCTCTCCCTTCTAGATTCAACTCATATCTGGAGACACTGTTACAGGATAGGGCTCTCATGTTTGGGGCTTTTTTTGTCTCTCCACAAAGTTTAATGAAAACTAATTCAGACAGCGCCCAATGGAGGGGTTAAAAAATATTTTCTCTAGTTAAACATATATTTGTTTCTGACTCAGTTTTTGTTTTTCAACAATTCTGATTCCAAAATGACTTGGGTAGAGAATTTAGTTTTGCTGTACAAGTACCCTGCACTGAGAAGTGCTTTGAAATATTTTTGTGAACATTGTTTTTTCCATTTATTGAATTATGGTCCATTGAAAACTGACCTGCAGGCATCCAGTGTATTTGGTAGGGGCTTTCAACTTTTGAATGTCTTCAAGATCAAAGGAAAGCTGTGATTTCCATGCAAACTTAATTAGTAAATGTGTAAAGGGAACGTGAAGAGACATGCATTCTTCAAAGACCCTTACATACACATGAAAACATCAGGTGAAGCAAGCTTTGAGAGTCCTCTCATTACACAACGCAGTCCTGATTTGCTGAAACTGTTGGCCTTTGGCTGTCTGAGCAGTGAAACGTAATTAATTTCAAGTAGGTGTGTAAATCCAATTTGAGTAAGTCATGTGCAAATGTTTTGTTGGGGCATAATAGCATTGAGTATATTGTAAATGCTTTCTGTGATTGGAGGATAGTCAGATATTCTAATATTCTCATGGCATTTCTTTTCATATAGAACTTAGTGCATGACACCTCGATAGATAGATATTGCTATAAATAGATATTTTTCATATTTTGTCATCATTAGAATTAAATGTCCTTACATTCCTTCACCATCGCATGCTCACTTGTATCACAAACGTATTGGTATCAAAGTTCAGACTCAAAGTGTCAGTAAAGCAAGACAAACCCTGTTGTGGAGGGCAGGTGGTTTGGCTGCTGCAATGAAAGTACAAGTCCCCATGATGTGGTGGTGTGGCATTTGTTGCAAAGTAACACTGAATATTTTTCTTTCTGGGATATGATGACACGCAGGAACTTGAATATCTCATCCATTATTTCTCTGTCCAGTTCTACAGGATGTGTGAGTTTCTTCAATATTTTTTGCATTCGGGCTTCACTGAGAACTACAAATAACTCTGAACTTTTTAAAAAGACAGCTTTTAAGACAGCTACTGAAGGTTACTTTGAAAAATAAGGTGTTTAAGTTCAGCAACACAAACTGTACTGTAGTTCTTCAGGCACTATGGATGATCTAACAAATACTTTATCTATTTAAGGTGAATTTGGAGAAGTATGCAGTGGACGTCTGAAGACGCCAGGGAAAAGAGAGATACCTGTTGCAATTAAAACTTTAAAAGGTGGCTATGTGGACAGGCAGAGGAGAGATTTCCTGAGAGAGGCTAGTATCATGGGACAATTTGATCACCCAAATATAATCCGCCTTGAAGGAGTTGTTACAAAAAGTAAGTTACTATTAATATTTTTTGATGTTTTTTCCCATTCTATGTCATTTAGTATCAAAATAAAGCATTACTTCCACATGCAAAATAGATTGCAGTTCTCAGAAATTTTTCAGAGCATAAAGAGACAGCAGATACTTCAGAGTTTGGGACCATAATAGGAAATGCATAACCTGTTTTCAATTAGAAATATTTTAGTTTTATTTTTAAATAAAAAGAAATCTTCACTCAGATAAAGTCTTTACAGGTTCTTATGAAAAAGATTGTAGAGTTTGCGTACAGGTGAGTGGAATACCACAAAGAAAACCATGAATGTAACTGAGTTGACGATGAATTTAAATCGTCTTGTAAGGTAGCAGCTATAGTCTTATTTTCCCACAAGCACTCATTATTTATTTGGTTGTGTTTTACTGATTTTGGTACCAGAAGAGAGTAGTTTCCTATTTTAAAGAAATAAAATGTAAACTCTTCTAAATTTATTGTACGCTTCCAAAATATTCACTAAAATTCCAGAATAATCTATGGAATGCCTTACTCTTGATCACTCTTGCAGCTGCCAAGTGCCTCTGATATCTAGCATTTTTAGCAAGTTTACAGACTTTTCTGAAGTGCTGAAATACCTACTTATTTAAGTATTAAGTAAAAAGTCTTGTTAGCATGCATGTAATTTAATGCCAATTTCTTACAGTAATGATTAAAAAACTCAGAATTTGTACTCTTGTCAAAATTAATCATTGCCTCAACTAAACACTGTTGTTTGCTGATTTGCAGTACTTATATGTTTTAAAGATGTCCGTATAAAATAATGATGCCCTCTTTCAGTAACAGTAGATACAATAAATGTGAATATTTTCTGGTTTCACCTTATTACAATCAAAAGCTACATTTAGAAATCACAGAGGAAAGTATAGCTCCTGAACTCATGTTATTGCAATGGAATCTCAGTAAATTTATAGGATGAACTTGTTCAAATCTGTCTCTCCGTGGTTCTAAATTAAGATGAAGAGAATCTTTTTTTTTTTTCCTTAATACAGTATTGCAAGGATAAATTCATTATTTTGGAGGGAACACTAACAAAACTGATTACATTGCAGACTTCTGGAAAGATAAAGCTGAGTCTCCTCCATTGCTCTCCTGTCAGTAACTGCTCTGCTGACAGCAAACAAGAACACGAGTTAATACTGGATAAGCAGCACTGGAGATCTTTGTCAAGAGATGTAAATATGTAGGAACTTAATTAAATTTAGCTCCATGCTTCATAATGAGCAGCAGTTAAATTCCACCAGCCTTCATCAACATGGGCAGTTTATGAACCAGTATCCCCTGTATGACTAGGATCCATGTTGTGGATTCGGTAGTGTATGCCTCACTTCTGAAAAAGGCTAATGGCTGGGATATATGAATATTGTTTAAATCTAATTGGTGCACACAGAGTACAGTATAATGTACTTGGTGATAGCGTGATTGTTTAATCTTTGCCAGGTTTATATATTTTATTTCTGTAATGTCTTTTCATCAGCCTAAAGAGAAATGAAGATTGCATTCAGAAAACAGAAACAAACAGATAAATCAGTGCTCCAACATTAGAATATTTGTTACTGTTCTACAGGAAAAGTGATTATAGGGAACTGTAATTCAAGAAGTCATTAGCACTTCTGCTTTTCTCTAAGGACTCAACAAACTTTATTATTGTTTTTGGAATATTTGCTCAGAGGTAATAGAAAAATAGTAGATGTTACTGTCGTGGTCACAGTGTCCTTTAAAAATATGCATTTCAGATGTGAAGTAAGTAGAGAAAGTTTTAAAGAAAATATTTTGGGGTCAGGCAGGTTTAAAAAAAATAAAACTTATACAGCAATAATTATAGAATGTAAAAAATACGTGAGTTATCAATAAATTTCACCCTAAGGCATGGAAAGTGTAAGTTGTGTAAAGGACGAAGTTGTACGGTGCTGATCTGCTGCAGGGAGGAAGGTGGGAGGCAGGCTGAGCAATGGACACACACGCTCTGCTATGCTTCTCTTTTGTCAGTTTATCTTTAACACGTTGCCTTGCATTTATACTGCCTCATCTGTGGTATTTAGAGTAATATGATTTCATCTGGGAGCAGAACAGCTACCTTGCATTCCACTAAATCCTGAATCTAGGACTGCACAAGCCAACACAGTACAGAAATTTTCTGTAACTAAAAGGTGGATTGTGAAAGTCAGACAGAACCTTGTCCTAGCCAAATTATTTATGGAATAATAATAACATGAATAAAAGCTGTTTGGTATTAAAACTTACATTAATAACAGCAGAAACTATTCGTCTGTTGTACATTATAATTCCACTAACCTATAAAGGCACATCGGATGCAGTAAATTTAATAGACATGTAATGCTGTTCTTAGCACATGCTTTCCTCTTTGTAACCATTAGTCATTAACTTGTCGCAGTTGCTGATATATATTGCATCAGTTCGTAAGCAGTACCTTCCATTACAGTGTCATTGACTATTGAACAAAAAATAAAAAGGATTTGATTGTAATAAGCAGAAGTGCTCTACCAAGTCAGTGGCTATTGACTTGGGCAATAACAAATTTGTCTGTTTGTTACAAATCAGAGCTTATATCTGGTGCTACTAGCTAAGCAGATGTTAACATTTAAATTATACTGTTTCCAAAACTGCTGTGGAATATGTATTGTACAGGATGAAAAAATGCTAAACTAAGCCTGCTCAAAAGTAGGGTGAAACAGAGATTTAATCCCCTTTTCCAATTGCTTCATTTCTCACTTGTCCTAACTGCGATCCCTAATCACAGAGAGCAGTAGGCAGAACAGTTGCTGTAGCACAAGCTCTCTGTTAGCAGAGAGTTCATTTCAAGGGCAATTTGCTGGGCCAAGGGAAATATACGGCAGCAGAGTCTGGACCCGATCGTTCGCTTATATTGCTAACCAGAAGTCACAAGGGAAGCTTTATTCCTCTTTGGTTTGTTTTAGCAACACCGTTCTTTGCATGGTTTACCATAAAAGGCTGCTTATTGCCTTGCAAATTTAGAGCAGGTGCTTACGCACCTAATAAAAACATCCGCATTACCCTTTCAAGTCGTATTAGCACAGTGATAGTTTTGGGACCTCTTTTTGGGTGTGTCAGGGAATGCTCAGCTGACTTGAATGTCATTTTCCAAGCTGCTGCTATTTCATAAAAAGGTATAAGAGAAATAAAACCTTTTTCTCCAGTGCAAAAGTATGTAACTAACATTGAGACACGAGCTATGCAGAAGTATCTTCTACATCTGCGTTGCATACTTGTGATGAAAAGTCTGTAAATTAAGTTAAAGCTATGCTTACAGCAAACAGCTGCCAACATAACTATATCTACAAGAGACATGAAAAAGTGGCCTCTGACTATTTTAACTGCACTGGAAACAATCATTGGTGTGACACTAACCAAACTGAAATCTATGGTTAGTTTAGCTTGATGGTATCTTGCCCAATACTTTACAGCACAGCATTGTCAGTAACGTGTAATACTGTGTCAATACAAAATATCAACGTATGCAAGGGCTTTATTATAGTCATAGAATCATAGAACAATTCGGGTTGGAAAAGACCCTTGGCATCATCGAGTTCACAAGTTCACCCCTAAACCTTATCGCCCAACACCACATCTAAACGATACTTGAACAGATCCAGGGATGGCAACTCAACCACCTCCCTAGGCAGTCTGTTCCAGTGTCTGACCACTCTTTCTGTGAAGAATTTCTTCCTAATGTCCAGCCTAAACCTGCCCTGTTGCAACTTGCAACCATTCCCCCTGGTTCTGTCCCTAATTACCTGTGAGAAGAGACCAGCACCAACCTCGCTACAAAGTCCTTTCAAGTAACTGTAGAGCATGATGAGATCCCCCCTCAGCCTCCTCTTTGTCAAACTGAACAGACCCAGCTCCCTCAATCACTCCTCATAAGGTCTGTTCTCCAGGCCCTTCACCAGCTTTGTTGTCCTCTTCTGCACTCACTCCAACACCTTGATATCTCTCTTACACTGAGGTGACCAAAACTGAACACAAAATTAGTTTTTTCCCCTCCACCTCAGAATTTACTCCAGAGAACTTTTAATTGTTAAAATTGTTTTCTATGGAATTGCTTCCATTTCCAAACTTTGACAACTGGAGGATGTGCACCTGTTACACACACAAGAGGAATCTTTTTAAGGCATTGATTTTCTTTAGCAACATTGTGCGTGTTATTCTCATGAAGAATTTTCAAATGAATCCCTTCACAAAAGAAGGATGAATGAAGGCAGCACCTGGATATTTGGTTCTATGTAAACTCGTATCCTCGTAACATCAAATCTGGGTTTAGAATGACACCTTCAATTCTCTTACTGTCTCCTCACTGTATTGCATTAGTGACTTTCAAATTGTGAATGCTGTCACAGTCCTGAAATCTTTAGTCAATGATCTGGCAGAACAAATTCAAAGCTTTAATAAATTAGGTTTTTTCTAAATTATTGTACGTAACATTGACTGCAAGAAAAGCCAGTGTACCTTGCCTTGTCCATGAGGCAGCAGCAGCAGCAGTGATCCTCTTTCACTACAGTTTCCATTATGTAGCTCTTCATTTCTGACCCATTTTTCATTTTTCAAAAATACAGGAGATAACAGTGAATTAATTTTTTCTTCAGCCATGACATTGTGTTCTAGGCCTTTGAGCCCTTAGTGTACTGAATTTAATGTTGCCCTTTTCTCCAACCTGTTAACTGGCTGGGACCGTTAAATGGAGTTCAGAATTCACTTTGGAAGGTGACACATTTTTCAACAATAAATCATTCTCTTGTAATTCACAGAATATACAGCATTGGGCTGTGAAGGACACTGAGAGGTCATCTTGTCCATCTTCCTGCCCCAGGGCAGAATCAATTATATTTAAACTGGCCTGGATAGATGGTTGCCTATCCTATTCTCAGAAGTCTCTCCCGGTGAATATTCCACAGCAATCTGTTGGGTGTTTAACTATCCTC